TATTTATTTATTTATTTATTTATTTATTTATTTATTTATTTATTTATTTATTTATTTATTTATTTATTTATTTATCACAGTCCATTATGCAGGAGTAAAACAAGTTTCCCCTCCTGCTGCTAGTATTTCCTTTCATCAGCACACTGATTCAGTAGATTCAAGCTTGAGAAGAAGCTTGAATGCGTCACTCACTGTGAATCACTACTATGAGCCATTCTTTCATTAAAAGGGGAAGGGTACAAAAACAATGTGTGGGGTGAGGGGAGCACACCTTCCAGTATTCATTCTGAAGAGTCTAACAATCTTTCAGACAAATTTCCTCTGTTCTCCCCAGCTGGTGAGTGAGTAAGGCATTCCAGTGGTACTTTTTTGTTGTTGTTGAAAGATCAGATAATATTAAAGCAAGGTTTGTATGAGTGTGTGCGCGCGCATGTGTGACTGCACATGTTTTTGTTTCTTTATCCTCCTGTCATGAGAGAAAGTGTGTTGGTGTGTGTTAACACAGGATGCTGCAGTACTAAAAGAGAGATTTCCTCCCCTGTCTGCTGGTCTTTCATGAACTTTAAAGGGAATCTCAAACACTTGAGATTTCCCAGCAGTCCTTATGTAACTTTCTGCATAGAACCAAGAGCGCAGGAGGGAGAATGCTGATCAGGAGTGAAGAGCGCTCTCCTGGTGGTGCAGGCTTCCTGACATATTGACAGCTGGCAGCTTCCTGACTTTCATCATTTTTGCTGCTTCTCTCTTGTGACTTGTGTGCCAAAAGTCAAGCTCATTCAGTGCTCTCAAAGCCTAGCACAGCAAGAAGGCATTCATTGTCTGCCATGAATTTTAGACTAAATGGGGTGGGAGCTTGAGATTTCAGCCAAATATGAGACCTCATTAAAGAGCCAATTTCGCATGTCATTTTAAGCCAGTGATTGATCAGTGACAAACAAGACAAAAAAGTACCATTTACTAACATGTGAGAAGCTGTGCATCCCAATATGGTACCATCACTGTGATATCTGGTTATTTAGACTCCATTCTTAGAGCATATGCTATCAGTATGTCAAGTTATATGCAGAGTATGCTACTGGTATGGAAATCCTAGAATCTATTGACAATTTATTCCAAAAATATTATTCTTAGCTGCTATCAATATTTGAGGCTCTCTACATATATGTACTCCACAAAGATGGCTAATTCTTCCTGCATTTGGTGAAAAAAGGACATGAAACCTTAGCAGAGTTGCATCTCAACAAGCATACTTAGAGCTAGAAATGTTTGCAAAAAGGGGCATCTTTTTCTCATTACATTAAAATTCAGATTCATCCACAGAAATTCAGTGTGAGACTGAGAAACAAAGACTTCTTCATGCAGTGCATAGTAAAACGAAACAGAATGCAGTGATGGTCACCAGTTTAGGTGGCTTTGAAGGGGGACTGAACAAATTCATGAGGATGAGAGTATCTATGATGCTAATAGTCATTATGTGCTACTTTCAGGATCAGACATAAATTGTGTCTGAATTCCAGTCACTGGGTATCAGTGGGGGAGGGCTGGTATCTCCATGTTTTACAGTATGTGCTTACCATAAACTAGGGATGGTTGCTCTCAGTGAGCCACATGTTGGCCATTCCTGGCTGGCTGGCCACCATAGTAATGTTTTGATCTGATATTCCAGGGTTTCACTTGTATTTTTAACATTTAGAAACAGACCATATGAGGCAGTGGTCATAGAATACTTCACCTTCAGAATTTTCCATCTTAAGCAAAGCAAGTCTATGGCTTTCACTTTGAGAAAAATCCTTGTTTTCCTTTGGATTCTCTGTTGCTGCATTAAAGCTCTGAAGGAAGTAGAACTGAGCAACCATTTTAAAGATACTGCAGTAAGAGCAAGCTGTGAGGGGGCGGGGCAGTTTGACTCCCTGGGAGCTGTATTCTCTAAACCCAGAATGCTGATCTTACCAAAGCTAGAATGTGATCCAATAGCTTTGAAAACTTCAAAGATAAACTAGCTTCCTTGATCAAGTTTTATTTCCCCCCCCATTACCTACACTGCATACTAATGTGTTGCTTTATATATGCTCAATTAGTGAAGGCATATAACCATATTAAGGCTTGTTTGCGTAGTACCATGGGATAACAAAGCATTAATTCATTCTGTCTTCCGATTTTGCTTCTGTACTCAAGAGTGGAGTTGCCTTTTTCCAACTGATAGATGGATCTGAGTAAAATGAAAAGTGTGAAGAAATCTTCATAGGTGAAAGTCAATAACCACAGAAAAATACAGTTCTCTTGACTCTTTACTTTCTCATCAATAGACCATGAATGATGGTTGTTGTAGGTTTTTCGGGCTGTTTGGCAATGTTCTGGAGGTATTTCTTCCTAATGTTTCACCAGTCTCTGTGGCAGCATCTTCAGAGGACAGGAGTCAGAACTCTGCCTGTGTTCACCAGAACTTTGAGATTACATAGATCATGAATTATTTGCAGCATAGTTTCCTACAAAAACTACTGGAAGGTTACTGATACAAGACCCTCAGCTATCCCCCTTGCAAGATTGTCAAAAAAACTGGACAAAGAAAGTATGCTACACCTGACCCAACAGAGTACACCACTTAGACCATTCAATCTCAATGTGAATGTGCTAAGTCATCTACAAATGTAAAGCTAGAGTCATTGAAGAAACTCATCCTTAATGTTTCGTCCAGTGCATTAAGAGAATCTTAGATCTTTCTACTGCAAGCCTTTCAGAGGTTATTTGAATGGTAGTAAGTACTAGACTTTCTTAATAGTGACACCAACACTATGGAACTCTCCTAGGAGAATCTCATCTGGCTAGTGCTTTGCCCTCCCTTAGGCTGATTGAGCCTTTTCTGTGAAGGGCTTTTTAAAATATCCCTGAAATTACATGTCTGAATCTGATGTGCTGGAATCTTGGATTTTTGAATAGAGCTTTTTAAAAAAAAAACACAACTTTTATTTATTGTATTATTTATCATATATTGCATAGCTACACAATATTGAATGTTTCTGTCATTGGTAACAACAGTGCGTGGCCAGAAACCTATTGTCATAGCTAGTCCTTGCCAAAACTGCTCAGATTACCTCAGTTAAACACAGGAAAGGGGTTGGGTTGGCTTGGGGAAAGTTTGGTGGAAGGAAAACCTCTGGACTTGGCACAGTCTCGGTGACATAATATGGTTGTGCTATAAGTAAATAAACAAATAAAAGGTAAATTATTATGTAGGTCCTCCCACAAAATAATTTGTCTTTTACCAGGACTTCTCCACCTGGGACTAGGAGTGATTCATCTGTCATTACTAATATTCTCTGATGCAGATACTCACCTGCTAATTGTTTATATGTAAGTGTGAGTGTATATGATTAACACATTAAAGCATCAGGCACTTTGCCAGTAGCAGTGTCACATTTCAGTTGTAGCAGCTGTCCTCCAATGAGCATTTTACATTGTCATTTCACTAAGTAGTCCTTGTTATCTTTCCATTACAAGACCAGGTATTCATAATATAAAAGAAAGGTTTACGAAGGCTGCAGTAAAGTTCCATTTTGTTATACGTCTGCCCTGTTCCTTCTCCAAAGAGCCCAGAACATGATTTTAGCCTCTTAGTCATCATGTAAGATAGATTTAATGACTGAGCAAGAATTTGAATGCTGGACTTGGATGCAGGACATCTAAACTCTATTTGCATTGATTCTCGAACAGCCCCAATGCAAAGGAATGGTAGCAACATATTTAAGAAGTATCTTCTTCACTTGGAAATAAATAATAGTACTAAGTCTGATCAAAATATGCTGGGTTTAAGATAATTGTGTGTTAGGCAATGGAAACTTCCAGTTAATCTACAAGTTGCAAGAAGAGATGAAAATATAGGGAGTTCTGTCTTACTTTTTTTCCTGTGGAAAGGAAATCTAACCCCGGAAAGGACATGGGAAGTAGTGTAGTCCATATATATAGCATATATAGCTGTGTTGTGATTCAGTCATTATGCAAATATTCCTAATAAAAGTATCCAAATGTTATGTTTTCTATCAGACTGAAAATATTCTTTTATGTAATCACAGTCCTGGTTTTTTAAAAAATCATTTCAGGTTAACTGTTTTTCAGATTCTCCTGGGAAAATAATAAGACTAGTTAACCTGCAAATAGTCATCCATAATTGGGTTGGGTTTTTTTAATATAATTATCTCATCACAGATTCTATCTATAATATACATTAAAATGTATGTTTGACTTTAAGAAGGGTAACATGTCTGTAGAATCATTGCCAGGCACATGATTAAAGTTTATTTTTGCATTTATAATTTGATCTCTCAGTCTCTCTCAGTTCGAAAGCACACTAATTAATTCATGAGATTGCAATCTCACTCTGATAAGCACTTAGTCTTTGCCTGTGACATTTTTCAAAGCATCATGTATACTGATGGCAGTTTATTAGTAGCATTATTATCAATGTTGATATTGTTTATTATTATTTTTATCATAGTCATTATCAATATGATAATGATGGTAACATTACCAGTATGATAATGATGGTTGTTAAAAACAAGTCTGATAAATGGTCACATTTACAGAACCTGCATATAATGTGATGAGTTAACTATTGCATTTCATTAAGAGATAATTTCCTTTTCTTTCCCCTTTCATTTCCAGGAGTTTCATTTAATAGTGTTTACACACAGATTTGGAGAGTCCTCTTACACCTGGCTGCTGACCCATACCCAGATGTTTCAGATTTGGCTATGAAAGTGCTCAACAGCATTGCTTACAAGGTAAATGTCTACCTGCTACTAAAATCTCAAGATGGTGCAAACTATGAATAGCTGAATCATGAATTTGGAAGACTTTCTGGAATGATTTTACTAGAAACTAAGAGCTTATAGAATATCCTGGGAAGGATATTCTTACATAAGTTTGTTTCTGTGTATTTACAGCCCATCTTAATCCCTTTTCTTTGCAAACTTATTTAGATTATGCAAGTGAGAGTAAAACTGGATTACAGATTGAAGCCACAACGGCTGCCCAGTGCAGTTGATCTAGTACATGTGAGTTAGCATGCAGACACACCATTCCACTCCTCACTTCTATTGTATGGATTAACAGCACCACCATTATTGCTATCTTTCATTTTGCGAAGATGATGTGTGTTTTAACTCCAGAGGCTGCCTTCACTGCTGTTCTAGATTTTATTATCTCAAGGAGTTTGATACCTGAGCTCCTGCTGCTGCAAACCATTTGTGATGATAAATCTTTTGCCACAAACCAGGCACTACATAAGCACTGAAATGCATTTGGTCATAAAAATACTTCCATCCCTGTTTTCACAAGATTTTGACTAAGGGACATTTGAACGTTCTCTGTTTTAGGTGCTTGGCTCTAGCCTTTCTGGTGCTCCAACAGCCTAAATCAGTCCAATTAGTTTTCTTGATGATGGTTCTTTGCAGTTTTGTCCATAAGAAAACTGAGGCTAAATTTATCATGTAAGGTGGCATTACTTTGATGCTTAATCTGTTTATACTGGTTCTTCATCGTGGCCTCTGTGAATGCACACAAGTGGGTTGTTCTGCATCTGCGCAGGACGTTTTGGAAGTTTCTAGAACTTAAAAACATTTGACTGTTATACATCCCCTCCCCCATGGAGTGCATGCTCTGCCCTCCAAAGATCCCCTCAGTTCCTTTTTTCTGCCGTATTGGTAGGACATATAGGAACAGCTAGAGTGAGAAAGAGCAAGTATTACATATAGAGAATATCCGATTTCCTAATTGATTATCTTAGATTATATTATAATTATTATTGTTTGACATTCCCTATGTGATTAGCCTCTATTTTCCCCCTTCGCAACAGTATTTTATCTTCCTGCATTTTTTCTACCCCCTCTTCCCCCACAATATCGGTTTTTCCTTTCTTTCCCATTTTTATGCCCCCTCAGGGACCATTTAAGTGGCGCATTCTCTTTCTAAGAAAATACCACTAACAGAAGGGCATGATAAATCTCCAATTCTGGAGAAATCATTGGGAGAGGCTCCTGTCTCAACATCCAATAGGGATGAACATACTTTGACTTCAGCACAGGCTGCATCAGTAGCTAGCCTTTCGCCTAGCACAGGCCAATCACAGGCTGAGATCCACTCCAGCCCGGCCTCAGCCCATTCCAGCCCTCGTTTACCAGGGCAGGCATTACTGATGCAAATGTTGGGATCGGAATCCTCCCAACATTCTCCACGCAGGCACAAAGAAAAGAGACTGCATATTTCTCCATCTCAATATGCCCCTCGACATGGAGAGAGGTACTATTACCCTGACCAGTACCGATACTTTACTAGACCTGACTATTATTACAGACATTACTATGACCCGTATTACCCGGGAATGTGTGCTGATACTATGCATTATGACAAGCCTAGGAGTGTTCAGCATGCCTCTCCATCATGGCACTCAACATTGAGATCACCATCTCCTTCAAGGCGACAACAACACTCAGAATACACATATCAAGCACCAACTCATCCATCATCGAAATCTGTCCTTAAATGACCTATCTTGGTACCAGAAGCATCAATACCGACTAAACAATCAAAGCAAATAAAGCATTCTTCTCTACATGTATCCACAACCTATGTAGGTCCTTCTTTGCACACCGGCACCGAAATACAACCGATACCAACCTACTCATCCTGAGAACCAGTACCAATAACATCAACTTCCAGATCACATTGTTCACCTTCTACTTCTTCTACATCATCTCAAGATTCTGTCTCCACTGCATCCAGAGAATCACCTCCTAACTTTCCTGCCCCTACATCTGATATTGGAGAGAACCACCCTCCCTCACCCTCAGAAGATTTTACTTCATACTCTCAATTAATCCTTAGGATGGCTAAATCACTTCAATTGGACATTCAAGAACCAACCACCCAGAAAAAGGACTTAGTCTTTGATAATTTAAACCAAGAAAAAACCCTTCCATTGAGTTTGAGTTTTATACCAGCCATGTTTGAACTGATAAAGGATACATGGGACAAACCCTTGTTGTCACTTCAAATTCCACACAGGGTGGAAAATCATTATAAAACTCATTGACCAGACACATCATTTCTTTTGAAACATCTGACACCAAACTCTATTGTTGTTGAATCAACTCAATACGGAACAAGTCTTCCGTGGCACCAACTAACAAAGAGGGATGCAAAATTGATATCTTAGGTCGAAGGCTTTACTCACTTCCTTTCTAATGAGGGTTGCTAATTATCAAGCAGCTATGCTGGCATATCAACGCCAATTATGAGATTGGGTCTTGCCCTTTCTTCAAACAGCACTAGAAACCACCAGAACAGAAATAATCAATATTTACACAGAAGCATCAACATTGGCAAAACAACAATGAATAGCTGCATGACATACAGCTGATGCAGCATCCAAGACAATGGCTACATCCATCGCACTCAGAAGACACGCCTGGCTCCATTCATCAAACATCCTGGACGATACTAAAACAAGAATAGAGGATCTACCATTCGACGCCACCGGTCTCTTTAATTGAAAACCTGATGAACTAATTGAAAACATTCACAAAATAAGGAAGACCACAAGATCCTACACACCACAACAACCTTATCAATACCAGAGAACACAATATCGAAAACAACCATATTACCAACAACAGTATCACCCATATCAACAGCCACTTCATTCATTTCGACCACAGCCTCATGACAGACCTTACCCTACAGCATCAACATCTGCTGCTAAACCCTTTCAAAATCAACAATCACAAAACAAGGCAGCCCTTTCGGAAGCAACAAAGAAATGGTAAGCAGTATCTATAACCCTATACCATCAGTATTTCAAACAAGACTTCACCCCTTTTTACCAGCATGGAGAAAAATTACCAATGACAAATAGGCATTATCCATCATTCAAAACAGTTACTTTATTGAATTCTTCACTACCCCACTCTCAGGCATCATTAGGACCACCCCTTATTCATTGGCTCTTCAGGAAGAGGTATCATCACTCCTGCAAAAACAAGCCATACTCATAGTCCCCTCATCGTCATCTCATGAGGGATTTTATTCACGATACTTTATGGTCCCTAAAAAAGATGGAGGACTCCATCCCATCCTTGATCTCAGGAACCTTAACATGTTTATTCAACCTCGATGATTCCATATGTTAACTCTTGACACTATTATTCCCCTTCTTTCACAGGGAGACTGGTTCGTTGTGATTGACTTACAGTACAAGATGCCTATTTTCACATATCGATTCACCCACTCCATCAAATGTATTTACACGAACAAACAAGGAGGTACTCACTCCTCTCACTTCTATATCTCACCATAGAATTATGGGAATTGTGTTATCTCCACCACATCTTTCCAGTGGCTATTCATGTTTCGAGGACCATTACATCGCAGATTACTTAAGCCGACTTCCTACACGAACACACAAGTGGGCATTAGACAATCACATCTTCGAAATCATTTGCCATCAATGGGGACACCCGTCCATCGATCTTTTTGTGTCAGAGCACAACACCAGGTGTCAAAGATATTGCCCTTCAGCCATCACCGACTCCAAATCACAAGGTGATGCATTCATGATAGACTGGACCGGAGAACTACTATACCTGTTCCCTCCAATCCCTTTGATTCAGAGATCAATCATTCGGATCCGTCAATTCCAAGCCGATGTGATACTCATAGCTCCCTGGTGGCCACAATAACGGTGGTTCACCCACCTGAGGTCGATGTCGACTGACATATTCTATCTACCATCGATACCCAACCCCCTGTCTCAGGACAACGGAGCGATCCTTCATCCCAACATCCAGTCTCTGAATCTGACAGGTTGGAGGATGCTCCCGCCTTTCAAACTGTCTTAGACCGAGCTTGAAAGCCATACACACAAAAGCTCTATCAAAAGAAATGGAAATCTTTCAGTTCATTCAGTGAATCCCAGAACTTGATTGCAGTACTAGTTTCCCTCAGAACAATACTTACCTTTATTCTACACCTCTTCGATTTAGGACTGTCACACTCAATCTTTAAAGTTTATATATCAGCTAATGTGGCCCATCAACCTTTACATTCTCAATCAGCAAAACTTTTTTCACTTCCAGCTTTTAAGAGATTTCTCAAAGGACTCCAAAATATTCCCCCTCCAACACAACAACCTGTGCCCCAGTGGTCTCTACAGCTGGTCCTAAATTCTCTTACCAAACCACCCTTTGTACCAATGGCCACATGTAATTTAAAATTATTATCCCTGAAAACTGCGTTTCTGGTGGCAATAACATCTGCCAAGCGTGCCAGTGAGCTAATCTTCGATGAGATCCACCTTACCTGCAGTTTCATCCTGACAAGGTCACCCTATATTTTGATATTTCATTCCTCCCCAAAATTGTCTCTGGTTTTCACTTAAATCAACCCTTGATTTTACCAACTCTATTTTCTTCTCCTTCTACTTCCATCGAGTGCATGCTCCATATGCTGGACGTCTGAAGCTCTTTAGCCTTTTATACCAATAGAACAAAGGCATTTAGGAAGTCTCCAATGCTTTTCCTGTGTTTCCAAGGTCCTCACAAAGGCGCTCCAGCATCAGCTCAAACCATCTCTCGCTGGATAGTTCAGACTATCTCACTGACTTATGAACTTTCAGGCAAGACACCTCCTGAACACTTAAAAGCTCATTCCACCAGAGCATTGTCAACATCCACTGCTTTGCATTGTGGGATAGAACTACCAAACATCTTTGTTGTAGCTATATAAT